ACCCCATATATGTTATTAAAGAGAAAGCTTGTGACTCACCCCTTGACATGAAATGATGCAACTATTGTACTATGGATCTATTGCCTGTTCAGAAATAAACAAACCGAAACTCAAAATATTACACTATCATTATTCAGTAATGCCATATCCATTGTTCATGCGAAAAGTAAAGATCCAGATAGCCACTCTTGTATAAGAATGAGATTAAATTAATTTGTAAGTATCAAAAATGAACTAAAATATAAGCATACTATTTTATATTGAGAGAGGAACACATACATTGTCTTAACGGGTGAATAATGTCAATATGTTTGCAGCTTTATCAACACTTCGCGTATAATCAACATGGATATTGAAGTGAAATTTAGTTTTGGTGAGCCAAGTAGAGTTATTACTCAATGCAAATGAGCCTGCACGTGAACAAACAAACGTTTTTTTTGTTTTTTTGTTTCATTTTAAACGGTTTGGTACCTTATTCGTCAACATCCCCTGTCGCATTCACTGAAACGGAAGAAAATTGCACAAGGTTGTACATGGTCCTAAAAATAACTTCTCTTTTTTACACAGTATTCGGAACAATGTGTATAACACTGTCACAATCGTTAAGCAGGCTGTTTCGACTCATAGATTATACAGTTACACGTAAATATTTTTTTTTAAAAACGCTAGAACTTGAGATCGCGACATTGATCGAGTGTCTCGCGTTTATATTTCAATATTTACATAAAACTGTATAGGCCTTTGGCAGACCAATATCGCATTCTCTCATATTTCTGCCAATTGCCTATACAGTTATGTAAATATTCAAAAGAAACCGCGAGAACGCGAGATAACGTCTCTTGGGTACCATTGTCGTGATCTCTTATGTTCCTGCCTATTGCCCATACAACTATTTCTATCTAATTAGAAGAGTTGTGATTTCGAGAAGGCGAGATCGCGATTTTTGATCGATCTCGCGTTCTCGTCTTTTTAGACTTCATCAAGACCTGCGGGCACGGGTAGCTCTGACGTCAGAGGAGCCGCAATTCGCTGTGTAGAGTTGCGTCCCTTAGGCGTCCCAGAAACATATGATGGCAGGTTTCCCCCCACATCAATCCAACAAGCCTTTATACAACTGGAATGCTGATCAAATCGGTGTTAAGCAAAACGCACTCACTTACTGGGAGTCATGCACGTTGCCAAGGTTGTGAATTGGAGTACATTTGGAGTAGGAGCATGCGTAACATGTGGATGTTAAGTCCACAAGAAGTTAATTGTTAGAGTATCATTAATTTTTTTAATGAGAGGCATTATATTTTTTTACATTTAATAAACTTTAACTATTTAATTCACGTGCACAGTTAGTGTCGAGCGGTGCGAGTCACATGCAACATGCACCTGTAGTAAGGCTACGAATGTATGTGTAGTATTCCATCAAGTAAAACAGTTAGGAACACACATATGTGCGATGTCTTGTCTGTAGGTATTTGGAGACACTATAATGATGTGAGGCGGGCGGGGGAGGAAATGTAGTCATTAATTCTTTAAGGCCTAAAGTACCGAATATATTGTCGTATAAAACATCGGAGAAACTAGCTTCAGACAAACAAAGAAAATGCTAGCCGTGGCTCATGTTACCAAATAGAGAAACTCACTGGCCTGTGATTGATCAATAACTTGTGCGTATGATACCATATGATGATTTATGATAAGTTGACTTGCCGTATGCACAGTATGTATGGTTCATGTGGTATTCAGTTAAAAACAAATATTCGTGTAATAAGGTCACATACCTACTATTTTGGGCTAATGCGAAGTTATCACAATGTTTATAACCTCTTACAAAGTGAGACAATTTCGTGATGTGAGGTAATAGTATACTTGGTATTTCTTCTCGTTAACTTCTGTATAATAACTACAAACCATGTGAATATCTCCTGACAATTTAATGTCTGAACTGACGGTAGTTTCTCAGGATTATGAACACCCTAATGCTTACATTATCTTTGGACATGAATGTATTTGTTAAATTATGTTGAGCATGTTTACATTTAACGTACTTACGAAATGTTACAGCGGGAGAGGAATTCTTTTCATTACATAACAAAGACTAACAACAGAAAGGTAATAGCTGGTTCTATTTGTGGTATAAGTTACATAGTATGTTCAAGCTAAGTCATCACTTTGCTAATTACTTGTAGGAACATGAAGACCTTGACAGACGTATGTCCACTGGACAAATAAAGCTACAACGCGTGAAAATGAAATGCCGCATTCTCGCACTCTCGCAATTTTGTGGGTTTTTGTGTGGCTTGATTTCACAAGTCGAGATTTACATCATGCCTAAATGTCGCATTCTCGCGTTCTCTGCCTTTGGCAGAAATGTTATGTAAAAAAAACACCTCAAAGATACGAGGTCGCGAGAACGCGAGACTTACCAAAATCGCGTATTTTCGCTTTCTCGCAGTTTGGCATATTGCGTTACTAAACGTTTCTTTCCAAAGGTCGCGAGACTGCGAGAACGCGAGAATGTGTCTGACAGTATTCCATACTGAGTGGAGTTCATTGAACATTATTTATATAAACATTTCTGATGACTTCATTTAAGGTTAATTCATACCCACTATCTGTTGAATTAACGCTCACGAAAATATGATTATTTGGGATGTCCTTTCTCCATTTAATTACAAAAGCAGTGTCTGAGTAGGATAAGTTATTGTTGAGAAATGAAACAACCATGCTAAGTGCTTTAAAAGAATACATTCCCAACAAACGTGGCATGTACTGCATATAATCGCCAGTAGTATGTGCCAACCACACTACGTGGAAGACAAGGTCCTTCAAACAGAAACCCACACGCAGGTCATCACGTCCCATATCGTCTGTTTGTCAGACTACGCCTCCAGCGGGCGTAGATAGGAATTAATGGTTGAAATATCAGATCGTGTGGGGGGCTGCTCATGTTGTCTTTCAGTGATTAACTTTCCTCTCTTCCTTCACGGTAGGGTGTTTGCGAGATGGCTTTGTTTGGAGAATGCCTGACAAGTTGTGCGAATGGGCATCTGACTGACCATGTTCCCGAATTATTTGGTTTCATAGTGCTTAAGGACTTCTTGTAGATGGGTGTCTTGTGAACATATGTTGGCGTAAATAGGTTAAGGTATCTTCAAGGTTTCCACAATTAATTGTTCCACCAGGCCAGGATTGACACGTGATTAATATTACTACACACATCTTGTGAACAAATGATGCTGGAATAAATTGCTAAAGAAATCTTCAATGTTTCTACAATTAGTTGTTCAACCAGTCCAACATCGTTGAGTGATTAATATAACTGCTGTACGCAGCAATTTCATCATATTTCTTTTTTCAACGGTCCCTTCTAAACTGACTCATTCCTCAGGGGTTATTGCAATTCTCACCCTCCCGTCATTAGATTCCCGGATTGCCACAACATTATGTCAGATTGGCAAGCATCTGGTTAACTAAATTCTTTTGAATTTGTCAGTTCACGAATGATTTTCATTTCGACATTCAAATGTCCGGTAACATGATCAGAGTTTACTGATAAAATTAAGTGAGGTCAGGACTGTTAGGTCTTTCTCCGAATTGAACTCAAGTCTGTTATATTGTATTGCGTTTAAATTATATTGACTTTCTACTGAATGAAAACAAGTATAAAGCACATCTCGTATGTTCCCCGTGTAGTCGCTGTGCACTGCATATCGTTTTCGAGTAACTTTAAAGAAGTAATGATACATGTGGCATATTTAGGAGGAGTCAATGTAAAATCTACTGCACACGTTATTCGGTTGTCCCAGACAACTTTTGGAGATAAATTCCTGATCACTCATTAAACAGTACCAGTGTTATCGTGGTTGTAATTGAAAGACTGTTTACAGTAGGGATAACAGGTGTAAATTTACAACCCAGTTGTTCTTTCAAGGTATGGGTTTAAACGTTTAAATAATATTCAAGTTCAAGATTAATTACTTGTATTCTTGACTAGTTCAAAACAATGGTTACAAAAGACAGTTTTTCAAAAAAAGAATTGATGAAACGGACATATATTTATTTTGATCGCAACCTCTTTCATTTTTGCACTGCTTGGATAGATTATAGAAGTTGTGACACTAAACGCTGAGCTCATTTGTAAAAGGGATGTCACTCCACATGGAATGTTTGGGACGGATGACGTCACGACGTAATGACTCTCAACGTTGATATAGTTCGCTTCAAATAATTAAAGTTTGATGTTAAATGGATAGTTTTGTTATGATATATATAGGGTCGGTCGGGTAGCCTAGTGGTTAAAGCGTTGGCTCGTCACGCCGAGGACTCGGGTTCGATTCCCGACATGGGTACAATGTGTGAATCTCATTTCTGGTGTTCCCCGCCGTGATATTGCTGGAATATTGCTAAAAGCGGCGTAAAACCATACTAACTCACTCATTGTTATGATATATGTATCTGTCAATGTAAGGATTTTCCTCAAATAAGGAAACTCTAGATGATGGTGTAAGAATCTACACCAAAACATCGCTAAATGCAATAGACTAGAAGTTGTTGTCCATAAGAGTGGAATTTTCTCATGTACCAGTTGGTTTGGAATAACCTTTCAGTAACATATTTCGAAGAACGATCTCTCCATACCAAAATTCCACATAGCTGAACGTGACCTACTTCCGTTACTCTTCACTAGTTGTTAGAATAATTTTCCACGTTGATCCAGAGGACAATCTTGATCTCTAATTATGTTCACCATTAACATGATGAGCTACTGATGAAAATGAGCCTGACGTATGACTGAATACGGAGTTGTCAAACGACAGATCGATGTTTTCATACACAAGGTTTTTGTGTGGAAAGGCATGTTAACTTTGAGGTATCGAATGATATTGGGTATCTGATTTTAATCTTCCATGACTAATCAGAATCAAGCATGACTAGAATATGCATTCGAGCACGTGGTACATAAAGCCCGCTCACGTTTTCAATATTAACAATGCCTTTTTCCCCAGAACGAGTACAAGGCCCTGAGTGAACAATGCAAGAGGTATGCGGTGGAGCTTCTGGATCTGTGCAGGTCTAATGAGGAGGTCATGGCAGCCCTTCATGGGGGATCAAACGTGCGGGATCTCTCAAGGATAAAAACCGCCATCAAATATGAACAGAAAAAGGTAGATTTATTTCGCGTATTTCGCCTAAGATGCAGTTCGCCAACAGCTGGTTAGTAGTTAGTTTCCAGTGCAGTTTGCCTTCCATTAACACACTGCACTCTTTTACTCACTGATGAACCAATCCATTAATGGGTGCAATTTGAGATCATAAATACACACGAGATGTTGAAACATACAATGATATAATGTTGTGTTAGGAAGTCAAAAGCATCCTTCTGAAATATTGTTGGTTCAAAAAGCAAATGTTTTTGCGTAAGGATGCGTTACTTAAGGTTAATGGGGTTATACGGAAAGTACCGGGAATTGTATGACCTGCATTAAGGACAACAAGGGATATACTGAAACCAGGAGGTCAGAAACTAAAGATAACTTTACAGGACTTGAACTTCGAGCGGTGATTGATATGTTTTGAGCATCACATGGGAAGACTTGAGCTATTATATATTTTATTACATAATCCCCTTCCACATTGATGCACTTTTGCCAACGATGTTGGAGGGAGTGACTTTGGTCTTATGTTAACGATGAAGAGTTTAAATGTATGCCTAAGGTACTAAATGCTCCTTTTGAAGGCTGCTTGGGGGATATTTACTATAATACCGTATTCGACGTAATAAGCGCCCAGGGCGCTCTCAAAATTAGAAATAGGGGGCTCTTATTAGAATATTATTTTGGTGAAAAAAACAGAGTTGAAAGATAAATTTCGTGGTTTATGCTGATTCCAGAATGTAATTGCCCATAATTAAGGGTGCATATAACACACGAGTGCGTATTATACATGAATAAATAAGTCTTGTGTACTTTGATCAATCGGAAGGGGTACTAATTGGGATTGTTCACTTGCCAATATACAAGCAAATGGGCGCTTATTAGAGTAGGGCGCTTATTACGTCGACTACGGTAAGGGGAAACTAGGACTATACCTACGTTGAAACCTGCAGGTATGTATTTCAAACTACATAGGTAATTACAATGGACGTATTGGCGGTTCGCAAGTTTAAACGCACGGTACCGGTTGTGTACTGAAGGTTGCTTGTACATTGTTCACATGTACAATACCAGGGAGCACGTTAAACATTAGGTCGAGTAGTAGCGTTTGAAGGTCACGGATGTCACCGAAAACTACTTGTGTTCAGCTTACATTTAAGACACCACAGGTTTTACAGAAAGCGATACAAAGGTTGTATTGAACAATATTGACAGTCATTGAAGGCTATAGCGATAAGGTATTGCAGGATCCATGAAATGCATGCGTCACAAATGCGATGGAAGTTAAGCTGTTTTGAATCATGAAATTTTCTATTCTGTTCTACTGCAGGGTAAGACGCAGTTTTAATTCATATAATATTCTTAAAAACAAAAATAAAGGTTGAGGAGCAGACCAAACATCCTTTATGGTTCCAATGACAGGTAACATGCATTCTAAACAGAATAGATTTCTGTAAATTTTGTTCGTGTTGTGTATTTGTAGTTCATTGCCCACGCCAGTTCTCAGGAGCATCTGATGAGCATGTGGTACACCGGCGTGCCATGGTTCCAACATCAGCCGGTCATGATGAAACTTTTCCTTGCACCGCTCGGAATAATGTTCATACCTGTCACGGCCATCGTCTACGTATTCCTGCCCTACTCTAAGGTACCCCGCTTAACAGCCTTGGTCAGAGGATAGTCTTGTCACTTGTTACTCTTGTTACTAGCTTCAACTGTTTTGATCCCAAAAATGATAAATTATATTAGATAGTGTGTTTCAGATTGGCGAGGTATTGAGAAGTCCTTTTATGAAGTTCATGAACTACATTTGTTCCTACACGGCGTTCCTCGTCCTGCTGTTTGTGGCCACCACACTGGGATCTTCTAACCATGCGGACTTGTTTGAGGGCACAAAGGGTACCGTCAACAGTCTCATCATGTTCTATGTATTAGGTACGGTGTCACACAAGCTTCAAAATGTTGTTACTTTCATGGACTACTTATACTTTTACTGATACTGATACTACTACTACCATTTCCTCTGTCATTACCACTACTACTACTACAACAACTACTACTACCAATAACAACAGCAGGGTTCTTTGATAAAGCCCCTCGTCAGCGATGGATTAATAATATAATTTTACCTCAGTTAACTGATCTGTATGCGTTCACAGTACTCAACTCAAGCTGCACATAAAGTGCAATGCCATCTCATCCTACCACGTTAACCTCAGGGTGAACAGATTCCGAATAAATTCCCTTTTTTATCAAAAAGTTTCTAAGATGTCAATGTAAACTGAACCAAATTAAAACTTCACCATCCTAAAATTTTAACATTTTGACCAGTTATCATTGTGGGCCCTTATTGTGTATTTAAACAGTAATGGCCACGTATTGTCTTCAGATAACACCCGTTTTTGTGCAGGTGAATCGATCAAAATCATGTGCACAGCACTATAGTGGCAAAAGTGCTTTTTCACACGTGCAACTGGTCACGTGGCCATAATGCCGCACGTGTTTTCAGCCATACTTGTTAGCAGTCATTAACAAAAAAAGAAAAACACAAGAAAACAAAAGTCTTTACGGCCATTTGTCATGCCACGCCTTTCAAATGTGCAACGTGAACGTGCCATCGGCATGTTGCAGACGGGAACGTCCGTAGCTGAAGTCGCAAGGACGATGGTTTGTAGTCGACGGACTGTTTATGATTTACAGACGCGTCTACAGCAAACGGGTACCACCGCTGATCGCCCTCGACCAGGTCGACCACGTGTGACGTCACATGCAGAGGATGGTCAGTTTGTCTTACGTCCCCTCCGTAACCAATTTTTGACTGCGACATCAACCAGAAATGAACTGTTTAGGGGTAGACCGAGTGCGCAAACTGTTCGAAACCGTCTGAGAACTGCTCACCCTCAAGCACGACGGCCATACTGCGGGCCGATTCTGACTCAATTACACAGACGTCAACGTCAATTGTGGGCACAGCGATACTTACGATTGACTCAGAGGAATTGGAATCAAGTCGTCTTCAGTGATGAATCCCGATTTAATCTTCGATTTGCTGATGGTAGGGCGAGGGTGTGGAGGCGCCGTCATGAACGTTACGCCCAGTGTTGTGTACAGGAAGTTGACAGATTTCGAGGCGGAAGTGTCATGTTGTGGGGTGCTTTCTGTGGCAATGCACGTTCCAGGCTTCTTGTCATCCGTGGCAACCTCAACGCTGCTGCTTACCGCGACCAGGTACTGGCACCAGAACTTCTGCCTTTTATGGCAGCACATGGACTCGGTTTGATCTTCCAACACGACAATGCCAGACCCCAAACAGCAATTTTGACAAGGAATTTCCTTCAGAATGCGGGAGTCAACGTCATGGACTGGCCGTCATGGTCTCCCGACCTCAATCCCATCGAACACGTCTGTGATGCTCTTGGCAGAAGTTTGCGCACTCTCCAGAACCAACCACAGAATTTGCAAGATCTTGGCCCCATTTTGCAGCAACAGTGGCGTCTTCTTCCCAATCATGTGTTCACAAGCATCACAAGGTCCATGCGGAGGCGTTGTGTGGCAGTTGTCAACGCACATGGTGGCCATACACGCTACTGAACTTGTGTGCGATCAGATTCTCGTGCTTGGGACTTATGATTTAAACTGTTGACGTTATTACCGAATACCGTAGGTGCTTGGAACAAATTATGGTTACCACCGTTAATTAAAATCCTTCTTTGGACATTAATGATTAAAAATAACCTTCTCTGATACATTTGTCCGTTGTATATCATATATGGGATTACTTTTAAAAATGTGAAGTTTTTAATTTGACTCAGTATATATATCATGGAACTCCACAGAAATGACTCAGTCGTCTTTGCGGGCATGTTCTGGGGAGGGAATGTTAGCAGCTCTGGTAGGAGGGTGTGAGGGCATACTCCTCCCAGATCTGGATATACGAGGGGCGTTCAATATGTTTTGCAACTTCAATATAAGACCAAGTCGCAGAATATATTTGCACTTTTATTTTTAAATATAATCTCACCTCAATACACTTATTCCATTTGTCCTTCAAGCTTTTAATACCACTTTTACAGAAATTCGCAGATTGGCCCTCTAACCACGCCTCTGTGGCAGCCTTTATGTCCTCGTCATACTGGAAGCGTCTTCCACGTAGGGCAGATTTCATTTGCCGGAACAGGAAATAGTCATTGGGGGCTAAGTCTGGGCTGTAGGTTGGGTGATTTAACTGTTCGAATCCACATTCACATATGGCGGCCTGTGCAATTCTCGACTTGTTAACCGGAGCGTTGTCATGCAAAAGTAGAATACCACGTGTTTAACATCCAACGGCGTTTCTGGCAAATAGATTTTCGCAATTCTTTCATTACAATAGCATAATACTATCCACTGATTCTAAATTTGGTGACATGTAATCAATCAGCAATATGCATCCCAAAATATGGTGGTCATTACTTAGTCAGCCGATGGTTGAGTGCGAAACTTCTTCGGAGGCGGAGAATGGGGGTTCTTCCATTGCATGGATTCCACTTTAGTTTCTGGGTCACAGTGGTGGATCCATTTCATCACCTGTCACTTCATCAGCAGTATAGAGATCCAGGAGGTCGCGACAACTTTCAGTTGTCCGATGGCGATCTTGAGCTCTGAGGTTTCTAGGTACCCATCTTGCAGATACCTTGGACATACCAAGATGCTCATGAATAATGGTTACAACAGTTCCAACTGATATTTGGAATTCCCTAGAAAGTTCAGATACTTTCACTCGTCGGTCAGACAAAATTCTTCTTTCTATAGCAGGTTACAGATTTACGGTTGGGTGGCATCTGAAGGCCTGCCTGACCTTGGGTCATCGTCTATGGAATCCCTACCCCTTTTAAACTGCAGAGACCAACGGCAAACTGTGGAATAGTCAGTAGCATCCTTACCCATCACTTTACACATGCGATCATTGATTTCTTTTGCTTTGCGCCCCTCCTTGGTAAGAAACTTTATTACAGCGCGTTGTTCATGTTGGAGAGAATCCATGATTGTGACCACCTTTAGGTGAATGAAGCCATCACATCTAACTTATTGTTGTGTCTAGAACTTGTTATGACACGTGTCAACCTGATGTTATGACTAGTGTCACACCTGCCACAAGTTGACATTGTTTGTGTAAACACAAATGCCCAACTTGCAAAACTATTTGAACGCCCCTCGTAATAACCATGTTTTCTGTCCACCAAGGCATGTTCTGAGCGGAGTGTACGCAGCTCTGGGAGGAGGGTGTGAGGGAATGCTTCTCCCAGATCTGGATATAATAACCATGTTTTTCTGTTATATACAGGCATGTTCTGAGCGGAGTGTAAGCAGCTCTGGGAGGAGGGTGTGAGGGAATACTTCTCCCAGATCTGGATATAATAACCATGTTTTCTGTCCACCAAGGCATGTTCTGGGCGGAGTGTAAGCAGCTCTGGGAGGAGGGTGTGAGGGAATACTTATCCCAGATCTGGATATAATAACCATGTTTTCTGTCCACCAAGGCATGTTCTAGGCGGAGTGTAAGCAGCTCTGGGAGGAGGGTGTGAGGGAATACTTCTCCCAGATCTGGATATAATAACCATGTTTTTCTGTTCTATACAGGCATGCTCTGGGCGGAGTGTAAGCAGCTCTGGGAGGAGGGTGTGAGGGAATACTTCTCCATGATCTGGATATAATAACCATATTTTCTGTCCACCAAGGCATGTTCTGGGCGGAGTGTAAGCAGCTCTGGGAGGAGGGTGTGAGGGAATACTTCTCCCAGATCTGGAACTACATGGACATCATGATGTTGGCTCTGTACACAGCATCGTATGCAGTAGAGGGGGTTATCTACACTAAGACCAAAGACATTCACACAACCGGGCTAATATCAAGCGAGGGTAGGTGAGCACACGTTATCAACTTTTTACAAAATCCCTTTTCTATTAAAACACGTAAATATTTCACCGCGTGCCTTTCCGTGTCAAATATATCAACACAACTCGATAACAGTGGCAAAACTCCTTGGCGTCAATCGACGAGTGTTGCTATATAAGATCCGCGTTAGAATTGATTTTCAGCTACCCATCTTTATATTGTAAGAGGCGACGTATTGACTAACAGACACGGCTATTTACAGAGCATCGTGATCTAGCTGGAATATTGCTGGGCGCGACAAACAAACAAACTTATGCCAATTACCTAAGAATCGGTTGGTTTTTCACATCATTAAAACAATATTCTGACACAATCCCAATGCCCTAACTTACTTTTTGAAAAGAATACTTTTACAAATTCAAGCATATTAAACGCTTCCAAATCAGTCCATGGATCAGAAGAGGTGGGGAAGGTATATTCGTTGAAGTGTTCGCTCGTCGCGCCGAACATGTGTACAATGTTGGATTATCAGTCCTGGTGTCCCAAGCTGGATCTAATGCTAAAAGTGGCGAAAACTATGTACACTCATCTCCCTCGTCTAACTGGTTGTGTCCACAGTGTCCACAGGAATCCACTGTACGCCCGAGTTCTGAATAAAGCGTTATTTCCCTCATACTCTGCTGTACATCCGACCACTTCTACACTCACTAGGCAACCTGTCCCCCTACTTGTCATCGACAAACCCTCGCTGCTTGAACCTAAACCCCATATTCCAAGGTCTCTCTCTCCCCTCTATCTATTTGTGACATGATATTATTATGTTGAAATATTGCACCTTTCTGAAGTGGGTTTAGTGAGGCCCGATGGAGTCGGCAGCTGCATAGAGCATATCGATAACAGTGTGCAGGTGTTAGTTGGCTCATCTCATCCTCTCTAATAGCCTGCACTCTGCGGTTGGCGTAAATATTGTATGTTTCCATTTGGACGAAACATGTTCGACCTGATTGTGTCGGTTTCTGATCACCCCGAGACATTTAGCCTGATACAAGAGTCAACAACTGAACGCGTTTGCGGTTGCTATATTACAACTTGTTTTAATCAGGTCCGTTATGTTTTAGATGACAGCATCCCAAACCCACAGATACTGTCCAAGGTCCTCTTTTCCGTTGCCAATGTACTGAGCTTCGCCAGAATCGCCTATATCCTCCCGGCCAGCGAGACGTTTGGCCAGCTTCAGATCTCATATGGCAGAATGCTGCAGGATGTGGGCAAGTTCATCTTCATCTATTTCACCGTCATGATCGCCTTCATCTGCGGGCTCACCAGCCTTTACAGTCTCAGCCAGAACGAGCATTTTTCCAAGTAAGATTCCCTTCTGTTTAGATTGGGCGCCGGGGAAGAATGGGTCCAATATACCATGTGGGTGACATTGAAGCTTTATGATAAAAAGCTGTTTTTTTAATGAATTTGACACAAAGTATGATTGTTCCATAAATGAATCTTCATGTAATGAGATAGTTTCGGTACCCTTTTCCGTATGCGTGCCTGTGTTTGTTCGCGCGCGTGCGTTTGCGTCTGTGTGTGTCTCTGTGTCTTTGTGTATGTCTTTGTGTGTTTCTCTGTGTCTATGTGTGTGTCTCTATGTCTGTGTGTGTGTTTCTATGTCTTTTTGTGTGTCGCTGTGTCTGTGTGTGTACTTGTGTCTATGTGTGTATCCCTGTGTCTTTGTGTGTGTCTGGGTCTATGTGTGTGTCTTTGTGTCTATATGTGTGTCTGTGTCTATGTGTGTGTATTTGTGTCTATGTATGTGTCTATGTGTGTGTTTGTGTCTATGTGTGTGTATCTGTGTCTATGTGTGTGTCTATGTGTGTGTATCTGTGTCTATGTGTGTGTCTGTGTGTCTTTTTATGTGTATCTGTGTCTTTGTGTGTGTCTCTGTGTCTTTGTGTGTGTCTCTGTGTCTATGTGTATCTCTGTTACCATGTGTGTATGTGTTCCTATGTGTGTGTCTCTGTGTCTATGTGTATCTCTGTTACTATGTGTGTATGTGTTCCTATGTGTGTGTCTCTGTGTCTATGTGTGTGTCTCTGTGTCTATGTGTGTATCTTTGTCTATGTGTGTGTATCTGTGTCTGTGTGTGTATATGTGCCTGTGTGTGTATATGTGTCTATGTGTGTGTCTGTGTGTGTCTCTGTGTCTATGTGTGTATCTGTGTCTATGTATGTGTCTCTGTGTCTTTGGCTGTGTCTCTGTGTCTTTGCGTGTGTCTCTGTGTCTGTGTATATCTGTGTCTATGTTTGTGTATCTGTGTCCATGTTTGTGTACCTGTGTCTGTGTGTGCCTCTATCTATGTGTGTGTATCTGTGTCTATGTGTGTGTGTGCCTGTGTCTGTGTGTATCTGTGTCTATGTGTGTGTGTCGTGTCTATGTGTGTGTATCTGTGTCTATGTGTGTGTATCTGTGTCTATGTGTGTGTGTATCTGTGTCTATGTGTGTGCATCTGGGTTTTGGAAGTGTTGGTGGTCATTGGAGATCACTTAGAATAAATAGAAAACTGAATATCGAAATAAAAAACAAATATGTGTTAATCACCGTTGGGACAGCTACTTCAGAAGAGGTCCTTGACCCATCTGCCACTTGATCACGAGACAAAATGTTCACTTTTAGAAGACAACCGTACAATGTGTGTTCGACATGCCGGAAAGCTTACCAGATTCTGTGAGGACTCGCCTACGCATCAAATATTGCTAAATCGGATATCTTCTACTTCGACCAGAAACCTTTATGTAGGGGCAAATACAATCGTTTAGCACCGACACGATCCAAAAATCTCTTTCATGCAAACCCAGAGAGATCGTTTATGGGGCATTTGCTTCTACTATTACATATTGTATCTGACTGTATAAATACAGCAGCAGCATACATGTGGCATGGCTTGTTTACACAGAGAGGAACACCACATATCACTAACACATGGAGAGCCCCTGAGCGTGCAATACCTGTCGGCAACGCACACGGCAAACGTTAAACACGGAGGCGTGGAGTTTTAAGCAGTATAGGGCGCCTCTAGGCCTAATTTCTGCAATCGGAGAGGAATGATTGTTATTTTGTAGCCGTAATCCCAGAAAATACCCCGGCTGCTTCAGCACACTGGGCAGTGATTGACGACCCTAAAAGCCATGTTGGTTATCGTTGGTTATCGTTATTCCAGTTATAGACATGGACAAAATAAGGACTCGCATTGACTGGAAAATCAACAATCATTACTTGTGTGTTCAACGATTTTATGTAAATCAAGGAGGTGACACGGAAAGTTAAATGGCAAAACTTTAAGTTTAATCTGTCGTGTTCACGGCCTGTCTTATTGACATTTGCCATGATCATGCGGCATTTTGCATCAAATTCCACAACCCAGTTGTTTCCCGACCTATCATGCCAAATGCTTTCAAAGTGTGCGCTACTCTCATGTATTGTTTCGCCATGATACTGTACACCGTGATGCACGGGTGACACAATACGCATGCAGGCTGTCTGAGAAAGATAGTATGTAGGTTTTGACTATGGCCCACACCCACACATGTACTGCTATATAATTGTAGTTATATTAAAGCGTGGTCCACAAGAGGTTCACGCAATAATATGATGTATGAACAGTATATGACCAGACTGTAGCTATGCATCATTAGAAAATGTTTCCTATCGTATGTGTAGATGCATCAATTTATGCTGAGAAATACAGATGTTCGAATTAGGTGACATGTTTCTTAAACGTTTGTCTTTGTTTGTATGCAGCGGAATCTCTTCACTTGTGCGCCGCAGACGTAGTTCAACATTAACATGTCGTTTTTTTGTTTCAGCAAAATTAGAAAATGTGCTATCGTATCACTGGATTTCCGGGTCCATAACTCGATTGTCTGGTTTGTTGATAGGCCGCAGCCGTCAAGCAGGAGTACTGCTGTGCGGCGTCAAGAAACATGTTTACTTTTCATGCAAAGTGTGCTACCGGTGGTAGTATGATCATGTATGCTGACTGAATGGACTGCAACCTCAGTACATGATGTATACAGACTGAATGGACTTCAACCTCAGTACATGATGTATGCTGACTGAATCGGCTTCAACCTCAGAATATGATGCATGCTTACTGAATGGACTGCAACTCAAGTACATGATGTATGCTCACTGAATGCGCTGCAACCTCAGTACATGGTGTATGCTGACTGAATGCGCTGCAACCTCAGTCCATGGTGTATGCTGATTGAATGGAGTGCAACCTCAGTACATGGTGTATGCTGACTGAATGCGCTGCAACCTCAGCACATGATGTATGCTGACTGAATGCTCTCCAACCTCAGTCCATGGTGTATTCTGACTGAATGCGCTGCAACCTCAGTACATGATGTATGCTGACTGAATGCGCTCCAACCTTAGTCCATGATGTATGCTCACTGAATGAACTCGAACTCAAGTACATGATGTATGCTGACTGAATGCGCTGCAACCTCAGTACATGGTGTATGCTGACTAAATGCGCTCCAACCTCAGTACATGGTGTATGCTGACTGAAAGCGCTCCAACCTCAGTACATGATGTATGCTGACTGAATGCGCTGCAACCTTAGTCCATGATGTATACTCACTGAATGGACTGCAACTCAAGTACACGATGTATGCTGACTGAATGCGCTGCAACCTCAGTACATGAAGTATGCTGACTGAATGCGCTGCAACGTCAGTACATGGAGTATGCTGACTGAATGGGCTGTAACCCCAGTACACGATGTATGCTGACTGAATGCGCTCCAACCTCAGTACATGATGTATGCTGACTGAATGCGCTGCAAACTAAGTCCTTGATGTATGCTGACTGAATGCGCTGCAACCTCAGTACATGATGTATGCTGACTGAATGGGCTGCAACCTCAGTACATGGTGTATGCTGACTGAATGCGCTCCAACCTCAGTACATGATGTATGCTGACTGAATGGAGTGCAAACCAAGTACATGATGTATGCTGACTGAATGCGCTCCAACCCCAGTACATAGTGTATGCTGACTGAATGCGCTGCAACCTTAGTCCATGATGTATGCTGACTGAATGTGCTCCAACCTCAGTACATGATGTATGCTGACTGAATGGAGTGCAACCCAAGTACATGGTTTATGCTGACTGAATGCGCTCCGACCTCAGTACATGATTTATGCTGACTGAATGGAGTGCAACCCTAGTACATGGTGTATGCTGACTGAATGCGCTCCAACCTCAGTACATAGTATATGCTGACTGAATGCGCTGCAACCTTAGTCCATGATGTATGCTGACTGAATGCGCTCCAACCTCAGTACATGATGTATGCTGACTGAATGGAGTGCAACCCAAGTACATGGTGTATGCTGACTGAATGCGCTCCAACCTCAGTACATGATGTATGCTGACTGAATGGAGTGCAACCCAAGTACATGGTGTATACTGACTGAATGCGCTCCAACCTCAGTACACGATGTATGCTGACTGAATGGGCTGTAACCCCAGTACACGGTGTGTGCTGACTGAATGCGCTGCAACCTCACTACATGGTGTATGATGACTAAATGCGCTGCAACCTCAGTACATGATGTATGCTGACTGAATCCGCTCCAACCTCAGTACATGGTGTATGCTGACTGAATGGGCTGTAACCTCAGTACATGATGTATGCTGACTGAATGCGCTGCAACCTCAGTACATGGTGTATGCTGACTGAATGGGCTGTAACCTCAGTACATGATGTATGCTGACTGAATGCGCTGCAACCTCAGTACACGATGTTTGCTGACTGAATGCCCTCCAACCTCAGTACATGGTGTATGCTGACTGAATGCGCTCCGAACTCAGTACATGGTGTATGCTGACTGAATGCGCTCCAACCTCAGTACATGATGCATGCTGCCTGAATGCGCTCCAACCTCAGTACATGGTGTATGCTGACTGAATGGGCTGTAGCCCAAGTACACGATGTATCCTAACTGAATGCGCTCCAACCTTAGTCCATGATGTATGCTCACTGAATGGGCTGTAACCTCAGTACATGACGTATGCTGACTGAATGCGCTCCGACCTCAGTACATGGTGTTATTGACTGAATGCGCTCCAACCTCAGTACACGATGTATGCTGACTGAATGCGCTCCAACCTTAGTCCATGATGTATACTCACTGAATGGGCTGTGACCTCAGTACATGGTGTATGCTGACTGAATGCGCTCCAACCTCAGTACATGGTGTATGCTGACTGAATGGGCTGTAGCCAAAGTACACGATGTATGCTGACTGAATGCGCTGCAACCTCAGTACACGATGTATGCTGACTGAATGCGCTCCAA